CCAGCTTTGGCTTCAATCTATCGAACTTTCGTAGAACAGATTTTGCTGCTTCGAGTCACTCCTTGACTCAGGCAGATTGGCTGTTACTTGATTCGTTACTTGATAAAGCCGTGAACTAATTTGACGAGGGCAATAGTCGATTGCGTCCCTCTGAGAAGACCTCGTAGTCGAATGCTCGATTATCGAAGCTGGGATGGCAGGTGTATTCAGAAAAAAAATCTTCAACGATATCGACGAATTGTCGTCACATGTTTTCGGTGTTATTTATAAAAATTGCGGGCGGGAGAAGGTGTTCAATATTCCAGATTCTTAAAAATAAGTCTTTAAAACATGCCTTCTTAAAAGTCAACCCAATTCGTGAGAGATGGGAGGAAATGCTATACTTATATCAACATGAAGCTTTTGTGCGATAATTTATCAGCTAGAGAAAGTTCTAAAGAGGATAGATTGAAAGTTTCTCTAGAATACGGCAGTGTGAAAATCGAACAGAAGTTTAAAATTGAGTGAAGGGCCATTAATGCGACAATGCTAATCAAACGCACGCTCCTTTACCTAGCTCATTCATTGCACGACTAGATTTGAGGTTTGTCCTCAAATTCACAGGCAAAAGAGTGCCCTTTTGACTTGATCATATACTGTCTGCGGCAGTGGAATAGTTCTAGTGACGTTGCATTTCCAGGCCATGGTGTGTTATAATGCAATTCTTCTTTACCTAACTATTGTTTTGCTTCTCATGCTCGTCATGACAAACGTAGTCATCTCAGAGAGAAGCGCTATAAAAGTTCAACAGATAAAGTGAGGGGTTAGTGGATTTTCCTATGTTTCAAGGGGTGAATCGATTACGACGAGCCTCGGTAGCTCAGTGGTTACCGTTTCTGCTTACTGAGCAGAAGGTCGGGAGTTCAATCCCAGGCCCGTCCCCTTCCTTGCAATTTTTCACTTTGCCTTATTCTATACCCACTAGATTTTAATGAAAACAAATTCTTCTTTAACACCGATCGCACCACTTACCACAGTGTGGGTCCTGATCTAAAAATAGGAATTGGATGAGTGCGCGCGCGCGTGTGTGTGTGTGTGTTTGTGTATTATAATCGCTCTACAAAAAAACGATCCCTGCGTGTGCGTGTGCAACCTTTCCTCACATCCAACATCCCAGTGATTTCTCGTGGAAGCGCAGAGGATTTCTCGGTTTCCTTCACAGCGAGTACCACGTCAACACATTGCTTCCCATTCCCTAGTTGACCTGCATTCGGACACGGCCGGCGCTGGTATTGCTAAATATTAGATCTCCAGTTCTTACACATTGAGGATGCATGTTAGTCCCAAACATCATCTGTTGGTTCTCCGTGTAATTGCAGCTGATCTGGTAATAACAGAGCAGCAACCGTGGGCGGTCAATCTGATTTTTTTTTTTTTCGAGGGGTGAATCGATTAGCTTGGGACCGAAGATAGTACCAGAGCTGAGCCAAAAAGTTGAGCACGTTTCTTCGGGACCTTCTGGTCTTAGAATTACATCTATGGTAGAGTGGTGTTGCGTGCTGTACCATCATGAGCATTGTTGACGGTTTATGGTTTTGTTATGGTCTTCAAGTCTATTCTAAGCTTTATAAACCTCTTCAAAACCATGATAAAACCAAAATTGTTACTCGGACAGGGAAATTCGTAGAAGTTACGATAAAATCATTTGAGTTAAGAAAATTTCGTAGAAGTTTGGGGATTTTGTCAAAGTTCAGGGAACGTTGTAAAATTATAAGGAATTTCATAGATCTTCAGGAAACTTCGTAGAATTTTCAAAACCTTAGAAGAAGTGCATGAAACTGCTCATAAGTTCTGGATTTTTCTAGAAGTACAGAAAATTTTACAGGAGTTCAGTTAACTTTGCAACTTTAGTGAACTTCGAAAAGTGCGGAGGATTTTGAATAACTTCAGCAAATTTTGTAGTAGATAAGAAAATTTTGTAGTGTTTCATGAAAATTTAGCGAACTTTAGAGAAATTTTGCAAATTTTGTAGATATTAAGGTAACTTCATTGAAGATCAGGGATTTTTCATTGGACTTCTGAAAACTTCAGGGACTTTGTTGATGTTCAGGAAACACCGTAGAAATTTAGGAACAGGGTGGCCACTGAATTTAAGAAATTAAATTCTCGTTTTTCCCGGGTGCCTGACACATTTTTCCCGGTTAAATTTAAATATATTAATATGGTAAAACATGAATACCGGCATGATTGAGTTCAGCAATTGAAGCCACTGAAAAAAGCTACGACATTTTATTTTAAATACAAAGAAAAAATCCGGAAAAAAAACTCTTTCCCTCCACAAAAAACAATATAAGTTTTCAGAATTTTGAAAATTTATTAGTTTTCAAGATCGTACCAAATTGTCCACTAGGCTCCATAATATGTTTGTAACGATTTCTCGATAACGATACAACCTATAGACTTGATTCAAATCACATTATCATTTCAAGCCAGGTGTAATCGAATGGCAAAATCACAATTTTTGGTGTAAATACAGATTTTTTCAAATTGTCTATATGGACCATAGCATGCTATAAGTACGAAAGGCATCAAAATCAAATTTTGTAAAAATATTTTGGCATGTGAAAAATCAACTTCTTTCTTTGTTTTTGTTTATACGGTTTGTTTTATACGGTAAATATCCCTCGTGTAAATAAAGACCTGAGTGTAAATTATTTGAGAGATCTCCAGCTGATCATAAATTTCAATTACTTCTGGTTGATTTTTCAAGACTTCTGGTTGATCAAGATGAAGATCTGAAGATCTTAAACTGTCCTCTTTATATTTCTACAAGACTTCAGGTTGACAAAGATCATTCTGAAGATCTTAATTTGTTCAAAAATTGAAATGACGTCCTCAGGTATTCTCCCAAGACAGCAGCTCGAAAACTTCAATAGAGTCTCATTTTTCAAGACTTCAAGGTGATCAAGATATAGATCTGAAGATCTTTAACTGTTCTCTGGGGTTTTTTCATGGCTTGCTTGGCAACAAGTATTATATTATGATCGTCAACTGTTCAGAAATTCAAATGACGTCTCCTAGATATTTTATCAAGGTTGATCACGAAGTAGAAGTTGTAAATTTTAAAATTTTTTGACTAGTGCCCTCCACGATCATCTAACATTATTACTTTGTTTCTAACTGGATGTAATATTTAATTAAAAATGAAAGTGTCCGAAATTTGAATCGTCCGAAATTTGAATCGGAACGGTATTTAAAAGATCTTCAGCTAATCGAATTTCAGTTGAGTCTTGTGGTTTTTCAGATCGATCAAGTATTATTCTAAAAAAAAACTTATTTTGGTTACACTATTCACAGACAAAATTTTCATGAACGAGCCTAAAATATTAAGTCAAAATCTTTATGTCTACAGCACAAATATTCACATGACTGCTTAACATTCAAAACGCCTTTGGAAGTCTTCAGGGTCAACGTGAATTCAAACATTTTCACAACACATTAAATATATTCAAAATTTCAAAATGTCTGCGGCAAAAAATGTAAAATTGAAGCCATGTTTTGAAATTTGGCGTCCATGGATCAAACGCCCTTCGATTATGCTTTGTTTTTAATTTCTAAACCACTATACAATTCATAGGCCACAGTTCGCTCTCAGCTTTTGTCGAAACCGGTAGCAGCAGTTGCACTTCTCGGTTTTGATCACACGATCTCAAACACACTAATCCAGGCTACCGCTGTTCGGTAAATTTTAAATAAAGGAACTATTCGGTAAAAGTTAAAAAAAATATTAAATTTATTCCGAATTTGTACAGGTTTTGTTCAGTGAATCCCATTGATTAATAATTTGTCAATTTAACGTATAACAATCATTTAAAAAATGTACCAACCTGTTAAGGTGTTAAAAACCCGGTAAAATAGCAAACAAAAAATGAATTCCTAGCTCAATCTTCCCCGATTTGCATGAAACATTGCAAAATTTGTTTTTTATAGTCAATCATATCCGATATTTTTCAAAAAATCCAAACTTGAAAATGTTACTGCTAATCCAAATGACATGTGAGGCAAAGTTGTAAGGAAAATTAATCCCGTTTCGGAAAACATACACACGGAAAAATAATTCATGTTATTTTGGGTAAAAGATCTAAAAAAGTGTTTCAAACATAAACAACAACAAAAAAACATCATCTCCAATAATGTATGAATATGTTTTATTTGAAAGCTCATCAAATATATTTTTTCAATGTGTCCAACTTTAAATTTTCGCTGAATAACTTCAGCAAAAATTTAAAGTTGGACACATTGAAAAAAAAAATACGAAAATGATAGAACAACAACTTCAAATTAAATTTATGAACTTTTTATACAAGTTTTTGTAAAATTTTACACAGAAAACTTTGTTAACCCTCATTTTTTTTAATGGAATTACAAGATACAAAATGGCTGAATTTTAGCTCAAATGTGAATCATAACAATCAATCATGCAAATTTGAGAACTTTGAGTCTGATCTATTCGTCATTTGGCGTGGAACTGCTCTATATGCGGTATTATTTCGGTGTCATTTGTTTATTGTCTTTAACTGGTGCAGTTTCTTAGCCCAAATGAGTTCAAATTTTGGGAAGACAATCAGGAACTAATTTTGAACTGAAAGCGCTAGGTAGAAAAAATATATAATATTTTAAACCACCCTCAACTGTAACGTAGTACATACAAAATTGCCTATCGTACTTTATAATAGGAAACCTTGAAAAATCTCCATAAAACAGTTGGGACAAATCGAGAAGTCCTTCTTAATCAAAAACTGCACCGCAAAACCACAAACCCCACCACCGGTTCGCTCTTCGAATGTTGACATAGTAAGTTGCGTCAGGATAATCCAGCGGAACTTAATTTCCCCGGTCATTAAAATAGCGCGCATGAAGCCAGCAGAGAAGAGCAGCAGAGGCTTTGAACGGTTAGTGAAGTTACAAGAAATGGGAATGTAACGATCCTGGCGGTCGATGCCAACTTGTAAAGCACGTACCTGGTGTGGCTGCTACACCGGTACTGCTACCATTACCGGTGCTGGTGGTGATGAGTGTTGCCGTTCCGGCCGCCGCGGTCGCCATCAAGGTGGCGGAAGTGGTGTTTGCGTTTATGTTATTGCTGACATTATTATTGGCGCTCGCGTTGTTACCTGCGATGATGGTACCGCCGGCCACGGTGGTTATATTGCTATTGGATGTCGCCACTGCATTGGCCGCTCCTCCTGCCACCGCTGCTGCTGCCGCTGCCGCCGTTGGACTAGTGATTGTGCCCTTTTTGTGGTGATGATGGTGATGGTGGTGCTTTTTCTTATTCTTAATGATGATTTTTCGCTTAAGTGACGCTGGTGAGGGCAAAACCATTGTGGGCTCAAGGGGATGGGAATCTAGGGGCCTATCTAGTAACATATCTCCAAAAATATCACGACAGTAGTTTGCTATCTTTGCCTGCGGAAGAGAAGATTGATGAAAGCGTAAATTGAGTCGTCCTCAGTTGCGAAACGTGACGTGCCATGCGTCTCCATAGGCGAGCAAGGGTGTGATGTAGACGCATGGTATCCCATATTTCAACCAACCTGCTGCCTCGGGTTACAGTGGTTCTCAAAACTTAGTATCACAGGAAATTCGGATGTCTTGAATGCTGTTTCAGCTATTGCTTCTAGTACGTTTCTTGCACAAATTTCTGGAACAAAGGTGTAGCCGTGAACGATAATGGGCTCCTCCGTGCGACCGTTCCAGAAATCCAACTCGACACATCTGCAAACAGTATGGGAACAAGAACGAAAAACTGTGGTAATTTGAGCAAACTATGCTGCTGCGTTATTGAAGAAACAAATGGTTTGCCATAAGAGCATCTTGGAAAGACAGGAAATAGCGCTCGGTAGATGAAACTTGCACTGCACTTTTTAATTAGTTTTTCCACTGACGCTCAAAAGACGACGAGCGATCTCGGTGAATAGTGAAAATGGATGGCTTGCCATTTCGAGCTTGAAAATTTTCTCAAAAGAAAGAGTTAATTAATTTGGAGCAGCATTAATTTGGATTTTTACGGTTAAAGTGCAGCGAGGGCATATTTCGAGAAAGTTTTTCCCTGCACTTACCTGCATCCGGCGAGCAAACTCTGTCGGTAAATTTCCACCGAGCTTTTGCCCGTTATCTGATGACCCGTCAGGTAGGTGTTGTGCGATGAGTTGATAAAGTAATGTGACAGTGGTTGATCCATGTCATCGCACAGGTCCAGCTTGCTCGGTGCCATGATTGGGTTATCTTCTGACATTAAGTATCTGCCGAAGGGGGAAGAAAATATCATTAATCCAAGTGATGTAGAACTTGTGCCACTCTCAGCGCTTTTGAAGAGGTGTAATTTTTTCGATTGATGGTGTCACCTGCTTAGGTGACTCAACGAAGGAAAAGTTTTCCCCATACTCACAACCAACTCACCTCAAAAAACCATCGAAGCTGAGCTGTCCTTTTTGGGCGTTAAACTTGTTCGGTTCGTACTCCTGAATCAGCTCTCTTGCCCGGGCCGTGTTTGCGTAGGGATGTAGAATTTCATTTAGCCTCGGGTCACGCTGGGTTTTGTTCAAAAAATCAACTAGCTGTGACGTGGACATGAGCCGCCGCTTTGACGTTCCGACTCTGTTCCGGCGACGGGGGAGAAAAAGGTTAAACAAATGTTTGATAAATGGTACTAAAAATAGCGAGTATTTAACATTGACCTATCCGCTACAAGGGGGTCACGCGCATCATTGAGGTCGGGTTGGGTTGGGTTGGGTTGGGTGAGGTAGAATCAATCATTTCTCAAGCATGCGAGATTGTTCCCCCGGGCAGAAGAGATTGAAGATTCATATAAAAGTTTAAATTACAGTTGTCGTTTCTGTCACTTACGTTCTCCTTGCTCCGTGCAGTTTACAGCAGCTGTGTCAGTGGAATGGATAAAGGGTTGGAAATAGGAGAAGCTCTGTAGAAGTTCATGTTACCGACTGGAATCAATCACTGCCAAGATTGAGATCCACCGAGACATAATCTACATCATTTTCTTTCACCTTTTAAGTGAGGACTCTACCATTGCTCCCATTGCTCGGCAATGGAATGATGGCGTGAGGTCAGGGTTTAAGTTTGCTTGTATCGGCAGTAATAGAAATATTGTTTTTTTTTTGCGATTCTTTAAAAACTTTCATATGAACATTCAGTACGAAAATGAACTGGTTACTAGTTAACTGTTTTCCCAAAAGTTGCCAAGAAAGATGACAGAGTTTTAAAAAATGATGGTCAACACAATTGATTGGAGTTATTACTGCTCGGGTCTTCCGATGGCCTAATAGCCAGGTATGGTGTCCGATCCTTAGGCTGTTTGGTGCCGGTTTGATTGTATTCGTTTCGTAGAACGAAAAACCGAGCCAACGGCCAAATTTTGTCAACGAATTTTTTACTCAATACATTGACATTGTTGCTCTCTGCGTCAGAGAGCGTATAGGGCGTCGTTGTGCCAATTTGGCCGTGGCACATTTCGAGTATGAGAGAGTGATTGCAGTTAGATCAAAAGTGCCTGAGAAAATTGCAAGAACTTTCGCGGATCATCCGAAGTTACAACTTCAGCCCTGCGCTGGAGAATTTCAGCCCTGGGCTGGTTCGTTTTCGTCAGACAAGCTGACATAACACTCTTAAAATTCTCATCGAAATCACTTTTAACGGTAAATTTAAATGTTTCTTAGTTGGTACTACCGCCGCTTGTGGCGTACATAACCAATTCCCTTGCGTATGACGTTTACACACTACAGCTATCTGTTGAGTGTATTGCCCATCAGATGGCGGTAAGGTTTACAATGATAAATGTTCAATGTGTTTTGTCTGTTTGTCTGTGATCTAATATTGAGGTAACGTTAGGATAAAATCAAAACATTGTTAAATATAACGCATCACTTTCAAAAATACTTCACTTCGCAACCGATAAACCATTCGGACGGCCATATGAGTACCCAAGTAACCATATAGTCTCAATATAGCTTTGTATACACTTACTTTGCTTGAGTATGGTTAGTTGGGGAATCCGATGATACTATCACTTCTTGAAACTAATCCCTTTCATATTTCTTTCATTCTCTTTTCGCACTTTGCCTATAGCACCATCTTATACTAATCTATACATTGATTCAATGATGTACAGACCGGTCTTTCTGAGTACTCGGTGGACCACCGACATAAGAAGCGAGCTTCCCAAGTAACCAAAAGTTCTGATAAAAGGCTATTTGTGGCTTAAGCAGCTTGGTTGGTGGTGGTCTATAGAATTCTAAGCAGCCTCATTTTTAAGTCGTTATAAGAACATGAAAGTTCCGCTTTCATAATTGAAGAGCATTTTAAGCAGCTTCTGGCGCTACTTGAACGAAACTTTAAGAAAATAAATTAGAAAAGGTTTTTGTCCTGTGTGTATTTATATTTAATCCTCACTTTTATGAAAGTTATTTCTAAAGGCAAGTATTAATGTGCCATCTCACTGCGTCCTAGCAAGAAGTACGGTCGACTTGTTTCGCGCTCCGTTGTTTTGGAAGTTTTCTCGGTATTCGCTTGATATAAATTATCAGTTTTTTTTCTCACTAAGTGACTCCTGGCATAGTTCCCGGTAAATTGATCGAAAAGTGAGTTTTTTTTTAGTAGAAAGTGTCATTTTCGGAAAGAGTAATCCATGCTATTGGAAATTCGCGAACCAATTTGGGCATCATCGTTGCGTGGTCACGCATACGCGCTTACGCATACCCGCGCACGTATCATCATCATCGAGTGTGAGCACCCGTTTCTACATCTACATCGTTCATCAATCATCGTGCGCCTGTGTGCGCTGTGTACCGAGCCTCGATCAAGTGCACCACAACGAAGGTCATCCACGCAGTGCGTCTCTTCCAGCCATCTGCGTAAACGCCTACACATATAACGCTCGGTGATAGTAGTATAGAATTATCAGATAAGTTTTTGTTTTTTTTTGTTTCTTTTCCTCCCCCATTAGTTAAATTTTCATTTTGTATTTCTGTGTTTGTAGTGTTTTCTGTGTATTGTGTCTGTGCGTTCAGTGGGAGAGCGTTTTGCGCTCCCCCTAGTTGAACAAAATGGATGTTTTGTCAGAAGACGACATGGATGACCATTCATCTCAGAATAATGATGATGTCATCCCTGGTTCGTCGTCTCAGTCTGACAATGGACAGGCTGAGAAAAGCTCCAGATTGCGGGCCTACCCGAATGACTCGACTGGCCCATGGGTTGTCTATTTTCAGCCCAAAAACAAACCCTTGAATGTTGTTCAGATATCTGATGATCTGACAAAGCGATTCTCTGTCGTGACCGAAATAACGAAGGTTAGGCACAACAAACTTCGTGTGACCGTCGCTAACCTGAAACAGGCCAATGAAATTGCTGTTTCCCAGTTTTTCACACTGGAATATAGGGTGTACATTAGGGTGTTTCATTTTGAAAAAAGTGATGAATTTTTGATAGGCCACCCTCCAGTTCGATTCATAGCCCCAAAATATGAACCTGTGCAAAAAATGGTAAAGATTGATGAAGGTTTAGAGGTCGCGCCAATGATTTGGATTTTGTATGGAGATTTTGGTGAATTAGTATGGGAAATTATTGATTTTCGTTTACATTGCTCTAACTTTGGTTGTAGTTGTCCAAACGTTGAAAAAAAAAAATATGTGGTTGTCATGACAATGATCAACAAGCCTGTTGTTGTTGCGATGAAATTGGCGTTGTTGCCTTGTACATATTCATCTGTCAATTTACCCTATTTTGCCATTTTTTCACATTTTTATAATTCTTGATACGCTGCAAAACTGAGCGTAGCAACTGTAGGCTTTTTGTTTATTGCCATAGCAATAACATACTAAATTTTTTCGACATTTGGACAAGTAGAAGCAAAGTTATAGCGATATAAGCGATTTTTTAAATTCTTCCATAGTAATTCCCATACAAATTTCAAATCATTGGCGCGACCTCTAAACCTTCATCAATCTTTACCAATTTTTGCACAGGTTCATATTTTGGGGCTATGAATCGAACTGGAGGGTGGCCCATCAGAAATTCATCACTTTTTTCAGAATGAAGCACCCTAGTGTACATTCCAGCCTCTGATGTGGAGATCGAAGGCGTGGTCACTGAGGCGAGTCTGAACCCCGAGATACTGGAGAAGCAAGCGGTTGGCCGATTTAAGAACCCCTTGCTTCCTCCGGTAAAGATACTGGCCGTTCATAGAATGAAGTCAGTATCGCTCAGCGAGGGTAAAAAGAGTTTTACCCCCACAGACTCGTTTCGGGTGACCTTTTCTGGATCTGCCCTTCCTCAATACATTGAGCTGGGAAAACTTCGTCTTCCTGTGCGGTTGTTTGTACCTCGGGTCATGAACTGCCAGAATTGTAAGCGGTTGGGACATACGGCCTCCCACTGCGGCAACAAGGCACGCTGCTCCACATGCGGGGAGAAGCATGAGGATGGCGCCTGCGCAGCTACTGCACCAAAATGCGTGTACTGCAACGGAACTCCTCCTCATGCTCTCTCGTCGTGCCCGGCGTACAAACAGCTCGGGAACAAAATGAAACGCTCCCTTAAGGAACGTTCCAGGCGGTCTTTTGCAGAAATGCTTAAGACAGCCACGCCATCGACCAATGACAAAAATCCCTTTTCTCTTTTGTCAGATGACGAGACTGACTCTGACTTGGCTGAGGAGGGAGTTTCTTTCAGTTTTCCGGAAGGTTCTGCCCGGAAACGAAAACGCATCCGTTCGCGGATTGTTGCAAATAAAGAACCCCAAATCAGCTTGCCCAAATCAAGGAGTGGTGGAAAAAAGGAGACTTCTACTCCTCCTGGATTCCGCAGAACTGACTATACCCAGGATTTTCCACCTCTTCCGGGGACATCCAAAACCCCTGATGCCCCAATTTTAAGAACAGAAACCCCTTCTTCATCTGGGTTGTTCTCATTTGATGACATTGTGGACGGTATTCTCAAATACCTCAACATTTCTGATCCTCTGAAAAGCATTGTCCTCACATTGCTTCCCACTGTGAAATCCTTCTTGAAGCAATTGACTTCAAAATGGCCCCTTCTTGCAGCTATCATCTCCTTCGATGGATAATTTTCCAAACGAGGTCGGGGATTTGATCACTGTTCTACAGTGGAATTGTCGAAGTCTTATCCCGAAATTAGATTCGTTCAAGTATTTAGTCCATAACAATAATTGCGATGCATTTGCCCTCTGTGAAACATGGCTCTCTTCAGAAATTGATCTCCCTTTTTTTGATTTTAACATTATTCGATTGGATCGTGAGGATTCACGTGGAGGAGGGGTACTTTTGGGGATCAAAAAGTGCCATTCCTTCTATAGAGTGAATCTTCCCGAATTCCCCGGTATTGAAGTTGTCGCATGTCAGGCTACCATTAAAGGTAAGAGCCTTTGTATTGCTTCTGTATATATTGCTCCTAGAGTCTCTGTTAATCGCAAACAACTTTTCGACATATGTGCGGTACTTCCCGCTCCATGGTTGATCATGGGAGATTTTAACTCCCACGGTACAGGCTGGGGGGAGCTGTACGATGATAACCGTTCTACTTTGATTTATGATCTCTGCGACAACTTCAACATGACAATACTT